AGCGAGGGCCGATCACAGATATGAGCTTCCAAACTGAAAGTGTGACGGCGCCCCTGCGATTCAAATACACCTCCTCTAAAACCCCCTTTCCCCCCGCACAGTCCAGGCCAAGGCGGGCGTGGGCGACCTTGAGTGGGCTGGTCGGCCTCGGTGAAGCATCGACCGCAAAGTAGGCACAGTACAGCTAGGCCGCTGAAATCAGTAACCCGAAACACGGAACGACGCCCCTCTTGGGCCCCAAGAGCGCCTCCGTGCCCGAGGAGGGCAAGAGGAGCAGCAGTGGAGGGACCTCAGGCTCAGCGAGCCCCTCTCAAGCCCAATCTGCTCATTACTTCGGCTTCTTGACCGTAGTTCGAGCTGCGCCGCCCGCTCCACGTCCGCAGGCAAGGCCAGCCAACGGCACGCCTGGGTCCGTGGTGGCGGCGGCTGGCTGCCGCGCAGGTTGCGCAGCTCCCGATGCTCCCCCCCGGCTCGGACACTGGCAGCTCGTGATCTGATCTGGTCGGCCGCATCCGAGGCCCGGAGACTGAGGGGCGCGAGTCGGCGCGCACGGCGCATGCAAGACGCACTGCGCCCGAAGGAGACGACGCGAAGGAGCCCGACGCTCCCGACGTGAGACTCGCTGCAAAACTTTCGCGTTCCGGCGCAGTGCGCCAGTGTGCCCTGTCAACGAGAGTGTCCTCTCTGGGACCAAAACGTGACCATGCGTACTCGTGGAATGTGCTCCGCAGTGTTGTCTCAATTTCAAAACCAATCACGGCACGACACGGCACGGCACTGCAACTTCTGCGCACCCTCGAGACCTAAGCACTGCACGACACGACACGCGCACACGGCACGATCTGGCACGGCATGCGGGCGGCAACTTCTTCGCATGACAGAAACGAGGCGCGGGCGGCGGCCCCGTCTTGCTTTCCGAAAACTAGACACGGCACGCACGCGAGAACGGCGCGGCACGTCACTGCACAGTGCACAGCACGCGGGCAACAACTTTTCCTTCGCAGCCTAAAGACTACGCACGGCACGGCACAGCACGACTCGCGGATGGGAGCTGTTCGCGTTCTGAAGCCAGGCGCGGCACGGCACGGCACGACACAGCACGTCACGGCTTGCGGGCGGCACCTTGTATCGCACTCCAGAAACTAAGCACGGCACGGCCCACGGGCACGGCACGGCACTGCACCTGCGAGGCAACCTGCTCGTACTCCAAAGCCTGGGCAGAGCACGGCACGGCACGACACGTGGGCGGCACCTGCTCCGCACACCAGAACAAAGAAAGGCACGAAACAACACGCAGACACGGAACGGCGTGGCACGGCGCGCGGGAATGGGAACGGCACGGCACGGCACGGCCGGCGGGCACAGCACGCGGGCACGGCATGGCACGGCACGGAATGGCACGGCCACGGGCGGCACGCGTTTCGCACTCGGGAAGCCAGGCGCGGCACGGCACGCGGGCACGGCACGGCACAGCACACGAACGACCCCTCTTTCGCATGCTGGGAACGAGAACCGCTGCTTTCCACAGGAGTTGAAGCCGCTTACAGCATGCGCTGTTCAGGAAGAGGTGAGGTGTCAGCCGACGCGGGATTTTGAATTTGAATCCGCCCGCGCTCATCGATAGGTTCCCCTTCGACAGCTGCCCACAGACAGCTTTCCCTTTCCGTCGGTGGCGAGGCAGAGGCAGTCCGCTCCAGCGTGTGGTTATTCGGTGCAACCGAAAGGTGAATTGTCCAGCGTGCAAGAGGGAGGAAAAAGACGAGGGCACCGCGCGGGGAGAGGGGGAGGGGAAAGCGCTCAGACGTGGAAGAGTTCCGCGTAGCAGGCCGGAACCCCACAGGCACACACGTGATGGCCATTTCTCGTGGGTGTCGGCACTGATTGTCCAACTCCCCGAAGGCCGACGTGCGAGTGAGCATCTGCACTGGCAAAGACACATGGCCTGTTAATGCGGATGCTGCAACTTTGCGAACTGACGAGGCAAGTTTTCGACCAATCGATCTCAAGCGTTACACTTTCATGCTGCTCTGCAGGGGACAGTCCGCAACCGCTGCGATAACGTCGAAGGCCACGGGGCGGACTCGAACAAGCCCGCCGCGCCCTGCCAGCTCGTTTGGCTGGACGCAGATCTCACACATGTGGTTCGAACTGATGACTCGCTAACGGAGAAGGTGACGCAGCCTGCCTTTTGTTCGCATATCCTCCACGCTCCCACCCAGAATCCACAACGGTACGCATACTGGTCTGCATCGCGGTCATCGGCGACTGCAACCTCTGTCCGTGCTGCGTATCTGGCGTCAAAGCTATGAGGTGAACAAGAAACGTGCGGCGATATCATCGCCTCGCCACAGATCGCAAATCCCACCAGCCCTCTGGGCGTAGGTGGTCTAGAGCAGATCCTCTTCCACCCCTCCCTCTTCCCCCTTGGGGAGGGGTTTACCCCTCCCCCTACCCCCTCCCCTGGACCTGGACGGGGGGGGCCGCGGGTAGTTAGAGCGTCCAAGATGGCCCAAGACGGCTCCAAGAGCGCCTCAGAGAACCCAAGATGAGCTCCAAGATGGCTCAAGATAGCGCAAGATCGCTCACGATGGCTCCTAAGATGGTTCCAAGAAGCCCAAAGACGGCCCCAAGATAACTCCAAGTGGCCAAACAGCTCCCCAAGGAGGCCCCGAAGAGGCCAAAATCGTCCCAAAACCTAAGGAAAATCAATGATTTTTGCTTTCTCGCCTTTTCGCTTCCGATGGCCATCCGAGGCCTGGAGATGGCTCCAAGATGGCCCAAGAGGGCCCCAAGAGAGCCCCAAAAGAGCCCCAAGACGGCCCCAAGAGCGCCCAAGAGCACTCCAAGAGCGTTCCAAGAGGGGTCCAAGAGGCGATTTTAGGGGCTTCCGAGGGGGGACGCTAATTAAACCCCCCCTCTTGTTTGATCGACTCCCTCCAAGATGGCCCCAAAAGCGCCCCGAAGGCTCCCCAGAGCGCCTCAAGAGGGTCCCAAGAGGCGCCCAAGATGCCCCAAGGCGCCCAAAAAGCCCTCCAAGAGGCCCTCAAAAGACCCCCAAGAAGCTCCTTCCCCTCCTCCTCCTCCTCCTCCGATTCTTCCTCCTTCTCCGTCCTCCTCCTCCTCCTCCTCCTCCTCCTCTTCCCCCTCCTCCTCCTCCTCCTCCTCCTCCGACGACGACGACGACGACGACGACTCCTCTTCCATCCTCCCCCTCTCGGGGTCTGTGACAGCTTCCCCCGCCCTTTGTTATTCTGCATGCTCCCCGACTTCCCTGATCACCTCAACTCCCCTGAGCATCGTTTCTGGATGGGCTGGTGGGGATACGCGAAGCGTCAACAATTTGCATGGGATTGTACAGACCAGCCTGCGACATGTAGCGATGAGGGAGGGTGCAACAGGCAGCAGGCAAAAGGACAATAGATGGAACGACAGGCAAGAAGAGAGATGATGAAAGCCGGAGAGCGGAGAAGGGAGGACGGAGGACGGAGGACGGAGGAGGAGGTAAGAGGAGGAGGATGGAAAGAGGGAGGAGGAAAGAGGGAGAAGGAGGGCGGCAAATCGAGGAGAGAAAGGGGGCACGGAGGATGATCACGGCGCAGGGGGGGAGGGTGGCCAGGGAGGCGGGAGGCAGCAGGCAGGAGGCATGGAGAGGAGGAGGAGGAGGAGGAAGGGAGATAGAGGACGGACGAGGAAGGACAAGGGAGGAGAGAGAAGGGACCAGTGTAAACCCAAGACTCATGAACGATGTGGCAATAAGCCCTCCCTCCACAGCTGCCTGTTCGTAAGCCCCATAGGAAGATTAATTTCCATTGCGGGACGTGCCCCGTCGAGGGGCAAGCGTTTGGAAATCCTGAACCGCGCCAGAGCGCCATTCTTGGGACGCCGACGCCACGAATCAACCTCACAGTTGCGTCTGGATTCTGGATCGTACCAAAACGCCATGTCTGGGACATCCGTACCGCGAATGAACGCAACCGTTGCGCCCTGACAATCCTACACCGTTTCATAACACCGTTACTGATACGTTAACCATGAGAACCCGTGAAACACCTGCAATGTTTAAAGTGAATGTGAGCGGCAATGATGCGAGACCCACATGTTGAAACGACTTGTCCTCAATCCGCGAACACCCTGCAACAAAGCTAACAACGGATGTGCGCGGCGCCAAAGCGAGAACCACATGTTGACATTCCGAGAAACTCTTGCAAGTATAAAAAGACGGATGCGCGCGGCGCTAAGGCGATCACCACATGTTGAAAATGACATGCCCTCAACCCGGGAAACTCTTGCAATTGTTTGAATCGAGTGCACGCAGCGCTAAGGCGAGAGCAACATGTGGGAAGCGGCCCGCCCTCCATCTGTGAAACGGTTCCCATGCTCAAACTTCAGAACTTTGAATGGCACGGGGATCTCAAGCGAAATGACTGGTCCGCCCTTCCGACCGGCCTGTGCGACAGGGATGAAATATTTAAGAAGGAACAAAGTAAGAGCGCAGGCGGAAAGGAGAAGGGATGAGGGAGGATGGAGGAAGGAGGGGGGATGGAGGACGAATGCAGGAGAACGGAGGTGAAGGGAAAAGAGAGAGAGAGAGAGAGAGAGAAAACAAGGAAGAAAGGTGAACGGGGATGGGACGTGTCGGAAGCACGGAGGAGAAGAGAAGAGAGGAGGGATGAGAGAGGAAGGAGCAAAGAGGACGAGGGAGGAAGAAGGACAGAGGGACGAGCCACAGGGGAGGAAAGAAAAAAGGAGGAGGAGCAAGACAAGCAAAATGGAAAGAAGGACGACGACAACGACGGAGGACAAGAAGGACGAGTGGGAGGAATGGGGAGGACGAAGGGGGAGGATGATCCCCCGCTCAAAATCCGACGCATCCCACCTGTCGCATTCTCCCGTTACACACTTCCAAAGCTACTTGATGTCATAACTGAATAGAGTGCTAATGCTCTTGAACCGTTCTGCTCATCACGTGAACTGCATTGCCTGCACTTGCCTCATTCGCTGCCCACCATGCTCACTGAAACATGCCTTTCATTGCTTTGGGGAGCCAAGAGTGGAGGATAATCAAACGACGGAAAGAGGCGAGTATGAGAGGAAGGCGGATGGAAGGGGGACGCAGGAGGAGGTGAAGCGTTCCCGAAGAGACACTCTGATCTTGCGCGGTGACTCTGACCATCGCCGCAAAGCCGAAGGGTGAACTACAAAGTACAGTTGCTGAAATGCACAGGGTTGCGCTCACGAAGGGCGTCGTGCGCATGACGCAGGAAGCAAATCAAGGTCTACTCGACTACAGTCGTAACCCTGCAAGACAATTGTCAGATTCAGATGCGCACGTTTACACAAGTGAGCGTTGGTGTTACACTCATCCATGGTTGGGGTCCACGCTGCTGGCATGCTCTGAAGTATATACAACTCCCCAAGTGGTGCTAGCGCAGAGAGATTGCCGCTTGCGTTGCGCATCATAGCATATTGCCAGCGTTTCAATGGTTCGCCGCTGTCTCCGGATAGCCCCAAGTACCCGTTGGCCCCGGCTGGCCCTGGACTGCCACCCACTGTGTTGGACGAGCTCTAATATACCATTGGTTCCGTTGGCCACCTCCAGCTTGGGCCATTCCCGAGTGGCCGCTTGCCCTGGCTTGCACTGGTTCCATGGACCGTCAATAGCCCCGACTGGCCTCGAATGCCCGTTTGGCCTGGTCTGCTCTGCGACTCTGGTGGCCGCGACTGGCCCCCACCGGCACAGAGTTTGGCCGCGCGGCCTGGCCAGCACCCGGACTACTGGGGATCCTGGCGGCAGCTACGAGCCTCGGCCAGATCCCACGTGGCCACGCTCCCGACACCTCTTTGGAAGGGCATCCCGCTGGCGACCACCAGTACCAATCCGCCCCGCGAGGCAGCGTGTCCTGGCCTGCGCTAGACTGTCAGGCATCCCATTGGCCGCCACTGGCCCCACATACCTCCTAGCAGCCACTTGCCCTGGCGTGCCTCAGGAAGCAACTCTTGGGAGGTCCTCGCAAGAACGACTGGGGACTATGAAACACGATCTCAGGGCCATTGCCCAGATTGGCCCAGATGGAGCCGAAGACTGACCTGAATGGATCAGGACTCAGCCGGATCACGTGGAATCATTCTGGATTACGCGGGCTTTCAACCACGGATCCTCTAACGCGAATGCCGAATTGGACCGCCCAGGAATGGAATCCCAACGTGTCCTGGGTTGCTGGGGAGTCCGAGGGCCGCCGCTGGCCCAGACTGGCCCCCGAGGGGCCGCCTTCGCCAGGTGATCTCGTGGGCCACGCAGCCCCAGCTGGCCCTGAACGACCGACTTGCCCTGCACTCTCGGGGATCTTCTGACCCGGGTCAATCCAGACCCGGGTCAGCAGGAAACCGAAATACTGCAAAGCCGGAAAAAAATAGCCTGACGAAAGACCGAACCATACGTAGTTGTGAACACCGCAATTGTGGATATATTCTTCGGTGGCGCCCCCGGGCCACGAAACGAGTGAGGGGTGTGCCGAAATGGGGGGGTGGAACCGCATGCGAGCGCAGCCACTGGGGCGCTCGGTGGAGCTCCCTATGGAGCCACGAAACGTGTGAGGGGTGTGCCAGAATGGGGGGTGGAACCGCATGCGGGCGCAGCCACTGGGGCCTTCGGTGGAGCTCCCTATGGGGCCACGAAACGTGTGAGGGGTATGCCAGAATGGGGGGTGGAACCGCATGCGGGCGCAGCCACTGGGGCCTTCGGTGGAGCTCCCTATGGGGCCACGAAACGTGTGAGGGGTGTGCCAGAATGGGGGTGGAACCGCATGCGGGCGCAGCCACTGGGGCCTTCGGTGGAGCTCCCTATGGGGCCACGAAACGTGTGAGGGGTGTGCCAGAATGGGGGGTGGAACCGCATGCGGGCGCAGCCACTGGGGCCTTCGGTGGAGCTCCCTATGGGGCCACGAAACGTGTGAGGGGTGTGCCAGAATGGGGGGTGGAACCGCATGCGGGCGCAGCCACTGGGGCCTTCGGTGGAGCTCCCTATGGGGCCACGAAACGTGTGAGGGGTGTGCCAGAATGGGGGGTGGAACCGCATGCGGGCGCAGCCACTGGGGCCTTCGGTGGAGCTCCCTATGGGGCCACGAAACGTGTGAGGGGTGTGCCAGAATGGGGGGTGGAACCGCATGCGGGCGCAGCCACTGGGGCCTTCGGTGGAGCTCCCTATGGGGCCACGAAACGTGTGAGGGGTGTGCCAGAATGGGGGGTGGAACCGCATGCGGGCGCAGCCACTGGGGCCTTCGGTGGAGCTCCCTATGGGGCCACGAAACGTGTGAGGGGTGTGCCAGAATGGGGGGTGGAACCGCATGCGGGCGCAGCCACTGGGGCCTTCGGTGGAGCTCCCTATGGGGCCACGAAACGTGTGAGGGGTGTGCCAGAATGGGGGGTGGAACCGCATGCGGGCGCAGCCACTGGGGCCTTCGGTGGAGCTCCCTATGGGGCCACGAAACGTGTGAGGGGTGTGCCAGAATGGGGGGTGGAACCGCATGCGGGCGCAGCCACTGGGGCCTTCGGTGGAGCTCCCTATGGGGCCACGAAACGTGTGAGGGGTGTGCCAGAATGGGGGGTGGAACCGCATGCGGGCGCAGCCACTGGGGCCTTCGGAGGTATGGGGCCAGCGGGGCCACGAACGTGTGAGGGGTGTGCCAGAATGGGGGGTGGAACTGGGGCCTTCGGTGGAGCTCCCTATGGGGCCACGAAACGTGTGAGGGGTGTGCCAGAATGGGGGGTGGAACCGCATGCGGGCGCAGCCACTGGGGCCTTCGGTGGAGCTCCCTATGGGGCCACGAAACGTGTGAGGGGTGTGCCAGAATGGGGGGTGGAACCGCATGCGGGCGCAGCCACTGGGGCCTTCGGTGGAGCTCCCTATGGGGCCACGAAACGTGTGAGGGGTGTGCCAGAATGGGGGGTGGAACCGCATGCGGGCGCAGCCACTGGGGCCTTCGGTGGAGCTCCCTATGGGGCCACGAAACGTGTGAGGGGTGTGCCAGAAGGGAGGGGGAGGAGGGAGGAGGAAGAAGAGGAGGAGGAAGGGGGAAGGAGGAAGGAGGAAGGAGGAACGCGGGGACCGTCTCTTCAAAACGAGGACCCAACAACGCAGGTTGGTTGGGAAAAACTGCAACGCAGGTCAGCCAATATGCGCGGCCGCCTCGCGGCCACGAGCGGCTCGCTAACCCGGGTCAGCCAGAAGGGGTCTTCGCAGGATCCTGCAAGATATGGCGCTCTGGCTGACCCCCGTTTGCACTGACCCCCGTCTCCAGGCTCCCGACACTGGCTTGCTGGGATTCCGCCGGCCGCCGCCAGTCCCGACCGAGTGGCCGCTGAATTGCCTTTGTCTGCCAAGGATTCCGAAGGCCATCACAGGGAAGCCGAAAGTACCAAGACCGCTACTCCCAGGACCTCCCCCAGGGCGCGTGCTGACCATGATTTTTTCATGGGCAAATCCAGCCGTAGCGGCGAGGGAAGGGAACTGGCAGCGGTACCTCTGCCTCCGCTGACATCCGCACGTACCCCCGACGGGTCTTGGGTCGCCGATTGCCGCATGCGACTGCATCACGTGCAGGCGTTCCCCAAACAGCGCTTGCAATGCGTGGTTGCCGCCTTTCCCTGATTGGGAGCACGCGCCAAAGACATATCGAAGTCGGCAAGCAAGGCAAAGTGAAACGAAGTGAAAACGGAAACAGCCAAGAAATAGAAAACTGTGTACACATGTGTAGGGTAGCAAGTGTCATTGACTTCATAAGGCATGCGAGCATATTACTCACGCCTTTCAAGAAAACAATAAACAGGCTCACAGGGTGCAGTGACCGATCGACTTCCCGGAACACCCATCACGACGTCGAACATCCAACCGATGTTCCTACGTGTTTTCGCGTGCGTCTGTAAATGTGGCAGCCTTTACCGCCCCGAACAACTTCTGCAGCCCCGAAGCCACATCACTGAGGCAGGTGCGAGCAACAGACCTGCCTCTTCATCCGACTGCTCCGAACAGTCCTCCACACGGAGGCTCGGGAAGCTATGGACCGAGGGGCGCTGACCCTGGGTGGGAAGAGCACCACGAGGTGCCTCGGCCACCTCTCCCTCTCCCTGTCGAGGCACACGCCGAATCAGTCCTCCACCATGAGCACGGCCGTGACGATGTACAGAACCCACAGCAGGACGAGGAACGCGCTCGACATCCTGGCGGCAAGAGTGGGCCCGCCGAGCTCCGCGCCCAGGGTCCAGCGCCGGACGAGGAGGAGGCCAATGCAGGCGACGGCGCAGCCGCAGAACACCCCGACGCTGGGGCCAAGCGCGCCTGCCTCAACCACAAACTCTTCGCCCTGGAGCGCCCAATAAATAGCAGCAGTGGACCAGGACAGGCCCAGACCGAGGAAGACGTTGACAGAGTTGCTGCCAGTGACATTGCCAATGCTACTGTCGGCTGTAGGATCCTGAACAGCGGCCGTCTTGGACGCGAATGTGTCAGGCAACGAGGTGCCAAGAGCCACGAACGTAATCGCGCAAATCTCGGGCGGGATGTCCATAGCGCAACCCAGCAAGTTCGCCAAGTCGCCAATGAAGGCGGTGCAGATCCCTATCATGAAGAGGGCGCACAGGAAGCACAGCTTCCCCCCGCAGAAGTCGGTCGGCGGTACAACAGCGAATAGTACCTTCCAAGGCAAGCTGATGACGTGAAAAGTCCAATCCATCACCCCTGCGTCGGCCTGAGATTCAGGGTCGCCCCCAACATAAAGAGCCTCGACGAATTGCGCCTTCCATCTGGCCCTGCCAACGTCGACGTTGTCCATGTTCAGCACGCCTCGGTGCGCCGCTGCGGACAGGCAAGCGTTGTGATGCTTCTTCCCGCTCTCGTCGGACTCGATCGTGATCGTGCAAATGCCCGAATCGGCTCCACCATCGGTGGATTCATCGAAACGCGCCACTGGACCTTCACTGCATGGTTCGATGATGAGGCGGAACTCTTCTCTCCTCTGGTCGACAGAAGCGACGGGAAGAACAGCAACCTCGACAAACGTGTGCTGCACCCCCATGGAGAAAACCAACTCCCCCGATATTGCCTCGTAGTCCTTGCCGGCTATTGCCGAACCGTCCTCGGTGCGATAGGCACACTTGAGATCCCCATTGCAGCCCCCCACACGCTCAACTTTGATTTCTTTCTTCACACGTTGCGACGGCTCTACTATGGTCAGAGCTTCTGTCTCGAATCTCAACTCGCCAGGACTGTCGGAGTCCAGAACGACCACAGTCGCCAACTTCTTGAGCCCCACGATCCCAGCTCCAGGGACCGGAACTAGCTCCACGTAGAATTCCTCGGTCGACTCGTGCACTTTGTCTTCGACGACAATGATCTCGATCGTCTTCTCGGTTTCTGCTGGGAGAAAATCCAGCTGCCCCTGCTTATGTATGTAGTCCTCGTCTCTCTTCGCAGTTCCTGGGACTGTCCTGAACCTGCACGAAGCCGAGGACTGCTCGTTGCCGCCACGCCTCACCGTCAACAGCACCTTCTTATCCGCCTCCGAGACGGCGTACATGTCCGATACGAATTCGACGATTGCATTCGGCCTGTGGTCGGCCTCACCGCACTCTCCAGCTGGAATGACCGCGTCGCCGTGCATCTTGCCACTCGTGGCTCCTGGCTTCAGCCCCTTCGACACGCACTCGCCCAAGAGGTGAAGGTGTCGGTCCCGCACTGCCACTTGCCCCGAAGCGACACGGGTGGCCTCTCTGCGCCGCACGGCACGCGTGGTGCTCTCGGGGAACTCGTAGCGCAGAAGGAGGTTCTCCGCGTCTTTGTTGTCCGGCATCTTGGGGTACTTCTCCCTCAGGTGTGCCATCATTTTGTGGTAGTCTTCCACGCTGGTTTCGTGCGAAAAAACCAGCCTATGACTTTTCACCCTGCCCATCAGTTTGTGGAACGCACCGACGTCCGCCAGGTATGCTAAGTAAACGAGGATCGGTAGGAACACTATTGTAAGTAAGCCCTCAGCCGGAGTGACCACGTCTGGCGTCCACACCACCAGGACGACGATGAGCCACAAATATGCAAAAATCGAAAATGTTGCGGTGACTGCAAAAACGGACATGTCCTTAATCCTGCGCTCCTCGCCCTCAGGGATGGCTGAGATGCAGACTGCCGTAATGATCAGAAGGTTGAACGCAGCACTGCCCACAATGGTAGAGGGGCCGAGGGCACCGCTGTGCATCTTGTTGGGTGCCAGCTCAATCACGCCCAGGAGAATCTCAGGTGCACTGGACCCCAATGCCATTAGAGTCAGATTCGCAACTGTGTCGTTCCAGACCTTCACCGTCTTTAGGCGTGGTTGGCCTATTGAGTCCTGGCTCTTTGCTGAGCTCGGAGATGTTCCTACGATGCCGTCCCAAACACGCTCACTGACAGGTACAGGGACCCGCTTCTTCGCGGAGGTAATCTTTTCGATGGCGCTCATGAAGATGTCGGAGATTATGCCGACCCCTTGAAAGCACCACATGAGCCCGATGAAATAAAGGATCCCTCCAAGAACCTGGGAGACCCCTGTTGCACCACAAGTCCGATGTACCCCCCTCCCCCGCCCTCGTCTCCGTCAACCCTCGAGAGGAGAGGGGAGGGGGAGGAGCATTGGGTCTGGTGACAGGGTGGGTGTTACACGAGTCTCCGAGTACCTGGTTTTCGATGTGGACCAGTGGAAAGACGACGCCGTCCGACCCGCCCAGTATTAACGGACCTCCGCCTTCGCAAATGCTGGTGCTTTCTGCCATTGCGTCCGAATGACACCCTTGTGTCCAATCGGCTTGGGCCCATCTTGAGCCCAAATGGCTACGCAGAAGGATCACGATGACAGAAGCGACCACGGAAGAGGAAGGAGAAAGAAGGAACATCTGGAACGTGACAATCTGAAACAGTGCCCCCAATCAATTGGCCGTGGCCCGTGGTAAATGCCGCAGGCTTTGAGGGAAAAAATCCGCCGACCCTGTCGGCGTGCGTGGTGGGGTCCGTCGTCCCCGGGAGTTCCTAACAGACGATCGTTCATTTGAGTTGCTCTTCCGTTCTCGGAGGTTCTCCCGAGACCCTCTTTGGCGCGTCAAGCTCGTCAAACAGAGGTGAATCGAGCCAATTCAAATCGAAGTCGTACCTGAGTCGAAGGGAAACCCCTTGCCTTTGATCCCTTCCCCATCCTGGGGGGGGGGAGGGGGTCCTGGTGGAGGTACCAGGGGAAGGCCCGGGAAATGGAACAACTTATAACAAACGAAAAGAAGCATCAACTAGGTAAATAATACATGTCGAACACTTTGGTACCAACTCCAACCATATTGCCATGAATTCCAATCAACCTACATGAGAAGCCTCACAGGCGCCTGAAAGGCATCTCTCAGAAGCGTTTCCGAGAGGCGTCTTGCACACGTCCATGAGGGGCGACTTCCAGGAGTCCCCTAGGAGCCTCTTACAGGCGTCTCTGAGAGGCGTCTCTCAGACGTCTCACAAGCGCCTCTGGGAGGCGCCTGCAAACGTCCTACAGGCGTCCCCTGAGAGGCGTCTTCCAGGCGTCCCTAAGAGGTCCTCACAAGCGTCTTTGAGATGCGCCTCACGGGGCGTGAAATTGCGGCACGCGGGCGCAACCGCTGGGGCCTTAGATGAGAGGGTGAGCGGGGAGCAGAAGAAAGGCTGAACACGATAATGATGATGCTGATGATGATAATGATGATGCTGATGGTGATGATGATGCTGATGCTGATGGTGATGATGATGCTGATGAAGATGCTGATGCTGGTGGTGGTAATGATGACGACGGACATGATGATGATGATGCTGCTGATGATGATGATGGTACTGATGATAGTTGTGATGATGACGGTGGTGATGATGGTGATGATGATGGTAGTGGCGGCGCTGATGATAGTGATTATGATGATGCTGATGAGGATGAGGATGGTGGTGATGATGATGTGTATGATGCTGCTGCTGCTGATGATGATGATGCTTGTGACGGTGATCGTGATGGTGATGGTGCTGGTGGCGACCATGATTATGATGCTGTTCATGATGGTGGTGTTGTTTGTTTGACCCAGCTTGGCACTCTTTGAAACCAAGCCTGGCGATGTTGGGTCAACTGCGCAGAATTGTAATGCAAGCCTGCTGCTTCTGCCAGGTCCCTCCACGATGTGACAGAGCGCCCAAGGAAAGCTGCGCGCGAATACAGCGCGGATGCGCCCTCCTCAGGGAGCAGCGTGCGGACGTGGCCGACGAGCTCATTTGTGTGGCTCGCTTAGCATGTTTGCCCTGGACGCCTCATTGCTACTACTCTGCAGTGGCAAGAAGGGGACATCAGATACATTTCGGGCAACACGTGCAAATCTACCAGCAACATATGCAAATACCACAAACACGTAAAAACTATCTGGACGGCCGGGGGAGGGCCACGTGCAGGCTGCGAGGGGAAACAAAAGCGAAGGAGAAGGAGGAAGCGAGCAACTTAGACATCGAGATAAAAGGAGGAAGAGGGTAGGATGCAAATTCCGATGTGTCAAAGCACATGAATCACTGCGGCGGGTCATTGCCCGACCAAAGTGCTATGTGGTGAATGCGAGCGCCGAGGGGCAATCCCGCGCGAATTTGTGCGACGGGCGTTGCCCGTGCTTGTCGAGCGAGCGCGCAGCTCGCTGACCAGAAGTCGCTGTCGCATTGCCCGCTGAGGAGGCGGAAACCGCCTGCTTAAATTCGCCCGATGGCTTTGTTGAAACAGTTCATCCAGTCGTCGAAATTCTTGAAGGGATGGAAGGCGGCCCTCTCGGCGCTGTCGCAGTCGCCAGCCCCGCCCTGGCCCGGGCCCACGCACAGGTTGTCGCCCACGAGGTTGAAGTCGAGGATCCTGCCCACCCCGATCTGATCCATGCAGCGGGTGAGGAAGAAGTCCTCGCCCCAGTCCGACCACGGCAGACCCTCCTTGCACTGATGGGAGAGGCGCGCGTAAGCCTTCATGGCCTTGGTCGAGAACACCTCGACGGCCCCGTACAGCATCGGGAACGAGGAGGAGCTCGGCCACGCGTTGCAGTTCACCACGTACAGCTGCCCGTCGTGCTCGCCACGGCCCGTGTGGGGCGCCAGGTGGTACCTCAGGCGGTCGGGCAGCAGCACGGCGTCGGGGTCGGCCTTGATCGTCCAGTCGTGGAGCCACAGCCTGCCGTCCGCGAAGAGGTCGTCCCAGATCGCCATGAAGAGCTCCGTGTTGCCGGCCGTGCCGTCCTTGGAGACGCCCACCGCGATGTCCGGGGTCTTCAGCGACTTCGAGCCCGCGATGTCGATCACCTGGTCCGAGAAGACGACGAAGCCGTCGCAGTTGAAGACCCCCGAGCGCGCCTCCCACTGGGCCTGGACCAGGGGCAGCTCGTAGCCTTCGGTGCGCATCACGATAAAGCAGAAAAGCGACGGCCACCCCTTCGTCGCGAGGCCAAAGCTTCGCGAGCCCAGCGTGTCGCAGGACCAGGTGTCGTTGTTGTCGGTGGGGTCTGGACCGGGCGTGCACGACTCCTTGCAGACCGCCCACCCTGCCGCCTTCATGTAGCACTGGTCCCCGACGGCCAGGCAGCACTGCGTCTTCGAGCAGTCCTCGACACCAGTCTTGGAGCACTTGTCCTCGACCCACGAGGCGACCTTGCCGCCCTCAGGGCCAGGGCTCCAGCCAGGCGCTGGCCACGGCGTCCGCGCGCCCAGCTCCGCGCAGGTCCAAGGCTTCTCCCACTCGTTCTCGGGCTCCGTGGAGCACTCCGCCTTGCACTGCGCCCAGCCAGGCCCCTTCTCGTAGCACAGGGAGCCGGAGGTCTTGCAGCACTTCGTGTCCGAGCAGTCGTCTTCATCCCCGGAGCACTGCTCGTCAACCCAGTCGCCCTTGCCACGCTTGGGGGGGCCCAGCTGCCAGCACCTCCACGGCTCCGAGTCCTCGTCCGAGTAGTCGGGGCCCGGCGTGCAGAACTGTCGGCAGGTCGCGAACGTGTCGTTCTTCTGGAAGCAGGCGGAGCCCGCCTGGCTGCAGCACTTGCTCTCCGTGCAATTGTCACCGTTCTGCGCGCACTGCGGCGCCTCGCCCTTGGCGCGCGCGCCGACCTCCTCGCAGCTCCACGGAGACGGGTCCACGTCCGAGGGGTCGATGCCAGGGCTGCAGCTGGCCCTGCACTCGGCCCAGTCCTTGCTCTTGGTGTAGCACTGCATGCCCTGCACGGAGCAGCACTTCGTCTTGCGGCAGTCCTCCGACGGCCCAGAGCAGAGGTCCTCGCGCTTCTGCTTGATGTGGCTCCCAGCGCTGTTCTTCGAGGAAGGGGTGGCAGCGGCCTTGCCGCTCTTGTTCTTGGAATCGGTCCTGGACGTGTGCGCGCCCTTGGACTTCGTGCCCATGCTGCCCTTGGACTTCCCCAGCTGCTCCCAATGAGCCGTTTGCTTCAACATCTTCTCGGCCTTGATCGCCGCCTCCTTCGACACCTTGCACGGGTCATAGGCGTCGGAAGGGTCCGTGATGCCCAGAGCCTTCAGGTCATCGAGGTCGACGAGCTTCCGGCGCTGCTCGCACGGGTCCTCCGGAGCCTCGACGTCGTCCTCGTTGCTCCAGGAGGGCTTCCCCTGGGCGTGCGCGCCGGCCCGCTCGTGCAGCAGCTGGCGGAGGGGCCGCCTCCGCACGCCGGGCGCGCCGTCCGCCGCTGCGCCGCCGGAGGCCCTGGAGGACACCGCCGCCACGAGGGCCATCGCCGCCGCCAGCGCGCCCGCGGCCCACGCCAGGCGGCGGACGGCGAGGCTGCTGGCGGCCGTCCGGAGGGCGGTGCCAGAGTCGCTGCCGTCGGCGAGCAGGGCGTCCGCCTCCATGTGCGGCGCCGCGATGCCCGTGGCCCTCGGCGACGGCATGTGGGCGGCTCTGCTCTCGCGCTGCGGTGTGAGCGCCACTCGCAGCGAGCTCCGACGGGGCTGATGCCTCGCCTTCGGTCTGGAGCCAGAATGGCTACGGACGATGCTGCTTATGGTGGTGATGATGATGGTGATGATGATAGTGCTAGTGCTGGTGCTGGTGCTGGTGCTGGTGCTGGTGCTGGTGCTGGTGCTGGTGCTGGTGCTGGTGCTGGTGCTGGTGCTGGTGCTGGTGCTGGTGCTGGTGCTGGTGCTGATCATGATGACGACGACGACGACGACGACGACGATGATTATGAGTATGATGGTAATGATGATGCTGCTGATGGTGATGATGATGACGATGATGGCGCGACCATGCGGAGAGCAGGACGGAGAAGGAGAAACTGCGCATGCCCCAACACTTAAACCTTTTAATACTTTTAACCCTTGAGCGTTCAAACCCTTGACCCTGAAACCTTGGACCCTCAAGCCCTGAAACCGTTTATCTTTTCAAATCAGTAAAATAAGATTCTCCCGACAACACTTCAATTGTTAAGCAATTCAACCGTTCGATCCTTGAACTTCCGTAATGTAATAGAAATTAGTTCAGACATAATTTCCAACATGCTTGTAATACAAAGAAGCTGTGAGGTCAACATTGAAGCGCTTTAAGCCATTGCACACTTAACACCTTAACCCTGAAATCCTTCAACACGTAAGCGCTTAAACCGTTACGCCCTTGCGCCCTTACCCCTAAAACCCTCCCCCCCCCCCCAAAAAAAAAAACATGGACAACCCGTGTTCGGGCCGTCTGGGGATTGTACGCGTTCTGTTTAGACCTATGAGAAATCATACATATTTCGTAACACCGCCATCCACATCTGCATCTTGAGTTCCACATCGTCGCAAGCCGTTGTGGCACACTTTCCAATCTGGGCAGTCATGTTAG